GCCATTTCGGATAACCCGTTGCCGAGTCAACGTTATAGATAGTATTATAACGGTGAAAATAACGTTAAGCTGAAACAAACATCGGAATGTACCGAAATTTTGGAAAACGCGGTAGGTAATGCAGCTTATTTGCATTTTGCAATTGCGTGGCGCGAAACACGTGACTGTATCGTGAAAACCTCAAATGAAAACAATTGTAAACGTAGCAAAAACAGAGCTCAAAACCACTCGCACTCCAGTCTGCAGTGCCGTAGGTTAGCGATGCTATTCAATCGTTAGCCCAATGTAGATCCGGCAACAATCCACAGGTCAATGAACTCGAGCGCACAGTGTTTTGATTTGATAAGGTCGCCAATTCGCAACGTCCAAACTTTTTTTCTCAAAACGCGAATACAGTTAAAAAAGCGCTATGCGACCGGATCGGACCGTTTTAATTACTTCATAGGTACGTCGTTGTAGTAAAAATATACCGTTAACGGAAAGTGATATGAGAATCACTTTCCATTAACGGTATATTTTTACTACAACAGGACGCGGTTCTTTTTGAAGCTGTCTTTCTCAATACTGAGTATTTTGCATTAACTGTGAGTTCGCATACTTCTTTTTGACAACATTAAAATGTAAGTGATCATAGCGAGTTCCATTTTTATTATATTTATTCTACTAGTAGTTTATACTTAATTTTCTTGAACGAAAACAAACAACGTCCGCTCCTGAAGAATACCTAATTAAATGTTATTACCACCTATCATGTTATATGTTTCTCTCCATAGATTTTTTATGTAAATTTAACAATTGCCATTCTATTCGCGACCCGAGCTAGAGTACAGTCGAATACAAAATTTGTACTTTAATTACCGATGTATAATAGCATTGTTTCAGATTATAATTTTTAATCGGAACGTAAGGGATGATGGATAACTTTTGCTTCTTCTTCTATCACGTAGATTATCAAAAATTATTGGACGCGTATTTTTTTAGTTTACATAATCAAAACGTTACAGAGATACCAATGTATATGTATAACTAATCAATATTAGAAAATTAATGTACAATATCTCGGTGCAATTTTTACTTAGAGCTGACGTCACGAGCCCCCACTCCCAAATTATGACGCTCATGTCGATGTAATTTTTTGGTCAATTAACAAAAAAAAATGTATTCATAATTTATTGATAAGCGTATCAAAATTTTACTTTATAGTAAGATCGTATAATTAAGTTGAACAGTTTCATCTATTCAAAATTTATTAGCTGCACTCACCTACACTGTAATGTTAAGTTAGCATTCAACTCAAAATGCTGGAAAAATATGAAAATACCCTGACAATATTAAAATGGATAATCAATAAACGTTAACCTTTTGCAAATACTGCCTGAATGTTTATATTATTTAATAATAATAAAAAGAAAAGAAAACGAGCAAAACTATTTATAAGGTAAGTTGAAACCAATTACTTTTACAACAATTTCTCGCCTACGAACCGAAATGAACGCACCGTATGTAGCGAATATATTATTATAAATAATATTATGCTGCCAATTTTAAGTACCAGCAGTTTCAATTTACTGACGCCAAAGGCCAATAAAATAAACAAGCTCTTATTAATTTCGCGCACGGCTTTACCCGCGCATATATGCGCTGTACAAACACGATGCACTTCCTAGGTGTTGCCTTTGCGCATACGAAATGAGAAACCCACGGCATTGTGACTCATAAGCACATAAATTCAATTCAATACTATGAAGCATGTGAAAATGCATCACCTGTCACTTTTAAAAGGGTTTAAAAATGTTTTGTGTTATTAGTAAAACTAGAGGGAAGCATAAAATTAGTTTCAGTTATTAAAAAAATACAACAAAGTTTCTTTTAAGCTTTAACGGGTATGATTTCTTACTAGTTAGAAGATATTAGATTATGATGGAATAGAAGGGATATAATATTAAGACAACCCTGCAAGCTTGCGGACGTCGGGACAACTTACTTACATATCAGCTAAAGACAATAATAATAATGTTTATCGTGCAGACTTTATCCTTTCAAATGAAAATATCAAAGACGCGCAGGATGTCTCAGAGTTTCGTAGAACGTTCAGTTTATTGTGGTTGGTATTGTGTGAACAACATTGTAGGACTAGCGGAATTATAGCTTCACAGAATGGCCACAATGCCACTTTTAACTAACGCTCTGTGTGGTTTCTTAAACTATTTTTTTAAAACATTACCCCACTGCAGATGACAACCGGGCATTTGTTCACGGCCGAGGAATTACGAAGGTTCAATTAATGAAAAATGTGCCGTTGTTAAGTAAGATTAATATTCTAAAAGATTCTTAATATTAAAGTTTAAAGCAACATTGCTAATCTGGACCCACAGAACATATTCTGGTTCTGTGGCTGGACCATATTAAATAGGTCTTACGTTTCACATAGGAAAGGTCAAATATTATATTTATTTGATGGCAGAATATAATAACATTGTTACTAGTCAGATTACAGCTCATGTTCACATCTGTTGACACACAAACATGACCTTCTTAACGAACAATATAAACAACAAAGTAGTAACAAGCAATTTTAATGCTGACGATTTGGCAAAAGTGCAATGAATACACTAATAACTAGGAAGCAGAATGCATCTACTGCGTAATCCGTTATGGCTAAATCTGCATGAAGAACTTGGCAACAAGTAATATTGCACACGAAGTGAGAGCTAAATAATGGATTTGTATACAGGATAATATATAACTGAAATTACTAAGAAAGTTATGAGAATATAACCATAGTTAATACCTACACTATGTTATTGAAAACTTATGTTTTTTTTTAAGTTAATGGAGAGTCACACTATGGTTCTTCGACTGATCAGGCCATAAAGGTTACTTCAATTTTTAGATCTTTTTTTGTTTCCTTGTGTTAAAGGTGTTCTGGAATGTGATTATATATTCAAATAAATATAGAAAAGATTGTTGTCATTTAAAGGTCATAAGTTTTCTAAAAGTCTAGTCGCGGCCGAAGATGATTATTGCGGCACAGGCGACAACTTGAAGCTTATTAAGCCAGCGTGCTGAAGAAATTTCACTCTCGGCAAAAGTACACAGTGTTTAAGTGTTAAGCAGATAAGCTTAAGAAGAATTAATAATATTACTATGTAATATGTTTTCAGAAATCCTATGCACTGAATTCTAATTCTGTATAACCAATTCCGCTGTTAGCACATGATCTGAATCATTAATGATTAATATTGGTTTTCGCATATTATTATTCACTACGCTGCGTAAGCCAAGATATATCGATGCTATTCTATGTGCACTATTTAATCTACTATTACATGCATAGTTTAGCTATAATCGTGACAACTTGAGGCATAACAATAGTGGCTCGCCCGATGTTCTTATTTGACTGTAAAACAAAATTACCAACATCAAAACTTTCTGGTGGTTCCCGGTTGACTATGCAAAATTTTATTTTTCTCAAAATTATAACAAAAATCAAGTACTCAAAAATTAGTCGAGACGTCCTCGAATGTTTCTCCATGTGGGGATTAATTACAAACATGTGGCAATTAATATATATATATATTATATATACCCATACAACATTCATACGCATTAGTATCAACACTATGCCAGTATGAAATAAAGTTATTTTTTTTAAAATGATAAGTATAGTATAATAGTGACTGATTGATTGCAATTGCAAGCCCATCGTTATATAACAATTTGACGTGAGCGGTTTTAAAAGGCATAGTTTAAAATTCAGAAGCTTTTTTAAAAGTCGATAAATGTATGGCTTTTTATTTTAAACTGTAATTCGAGAAGAAATAAAGAAAAATACAAACAGATGAAAAGAAATCAAATTACAAAAGCACGGAGGACCACATGGTCGAGCTTGAAAGATTTTCGAGAACTCTTCAGATTCTAAATCTAAACGCTTTGGTACTTACGAATTGTGGTTGTGAGGAGGTCTTTATCAATTCATACTTTGAATAGAACAAAGAATCACTATTGGAATAGAGCGAGAACTCCGAAGCTGCGACCTAGAAACGCACAAAGGCTATCAAATTTCTACCATAGAGCTAAGACGTGACAACCTCGTTCTGAGAACACGGGTATACCTAATTATAAGTGCCTACCGAAACCTACAAAAGTACCTAAGAATTTTTAGTATACTGAGTTAGGGTTATGATAGCATAAATTTCTTTTAATATCAACAAAATGTCTTGGCTCGCATAACTTAACAAAAAGTTACTTTTGTCAAGTTTTGGATAAAAATAATGATAATTAAACTGTTACAGTTTTTTTCAAACTTACTCAAGCTGATAGAAATATTAAGCATAACAAAAATAATACGAAACTGTAAGGAAGTTGTTTAATCTACGCTGTAATTAATAAGTTGTACCTGACTGTAGTTTATTTTCATGACTTTATTGGGAATAATTAATAACTTCCTCAATTCCATTAAATTTATCAAGCAACATAATTATGAAAAGTTTATATAAGTATTAATACTTTTTATTTATTTTAAAAAGCTTTCTAGAACGTTTAAATTTATTCAGCCCTATTAGTTCACCCGGCAACTGTAAAAGTGCCATTTCTATCGTATGTTATTGATTACGTTATCAATGTTTGCTTGTATTGTTGGTTCGCTCCTGTGTAGGTACAGTTAACTCAGTTGATATACACAAAGCGTTCAATCGCAATCAGAAATCAGAATCAAGAGCAAACTAAACTCGATCCGAAGGATTTTTTTCGTTTATCCAATTGTGTTGGTCTTTAACAAGCTAATATGATAAGACCGTCAAACAACTTTGCGTAAACTGAGTGGTTCATAATAAAGTTACGTTTTTTACTTTACCGTAAAATGCCGCCTTAAATACACATTAAAGCAGTGAATAATTCAACATTTCAAATTTTTCTGTAGTTAATTTAAAGAAAAAACAGCAACATTACAAAACTCCATCAAATAGCGAAACGATAAACGAGCAATAGCCGAAACCTACACAAGCGAGCACTGCGGATTTCACGAACCCTTGACAGGGCATAAAACAACCTACGAGGGTGTGCGATACACTCGTCGAATTATTGTCCAGTGGAAAAAAATCACGATAGTCACTTGTTTCGCTAATCCGCACCCTCTAATAGGAGACTCGTATTGTTTACGTTACCGCGTGCGCGTTCGTCACTTTGCAACGGTTCGATAGAGGTACGCGCGGCCGTTGCGGCGGCTGTGCGCTGCGACAATGCGCCTGGGCCTCCATGGAGCCGAGCTGCCTCCCCCGGAGCCCAATAGCCGAGCCACCTCTCTCTTTTGAGCCAAGTCGCACCAGCAACGGTAAGCGTACCTACAATAGCTTAATGGAAGTTTTTAGCGAAAAGAGGAACTTTACCCGCTCATTGCGTATCATTAATTGGCTTCCCGTATTAAACTATGAAATTACTACTCTCAACTATACTCTCAAGTTTTTATTGGTTATAGAAATCGTTTTTTTTATCTCTTTAGAATTATGTAATTGTGAAACAAAAAAGTTATAATCCTTATGCTTCCCTACAGCAGCAAAACTATAGCACTTGGTAAACTTGAAGAAATATGATTTGTCAATTTGAAGATAAATTACCAGTTGAAACATACAAGTGGATTTATAGCTTGGGTGCAAATTTTTAATACCAAAACGGTAAGTAAAAACAGCGAACACAGAAAGAAGATATTATAATAAATTACTTACCTTTACGATGACTAAAGCAACTTAAGCTTTAAAATTAATAAATAAGTATGCGATCTATTACAAAATAAAAAGAAATCAAAATTGTTATGAGTTTTCTTAGCCTGCATAAAACAGACCTCATATACACAGTTTAGCGCTACATTGTATCAGTTCGTGCATGAAATTATATATCTACCAATAAAAGCTCAGCTGAAACTTACGGGACAATTTCAAAGACATCTTAATGACATTTTTAATGATTTTATCAATGCTTCCAAGATGTAAACGCTTTGGAGATCAACGAGCTTAATAAAGGCGAAAGCTTTAGTCATATAAGGCATTCGCTCGTGGTAACTTTTTATAAATCATGTCATAGTCATAAACAATCGCTACAATTTGATGATTGTCGAATTTTATCCCTTCATAAGGATTATTATGCTTGAACTTTATATTATGGAAGACGAAAAAGTTTTTGGTCCTACAAGGGTGATGACAGGCTTTAGTAAACGAAATGCTATTAAGTCCGTCAGTTAGATTATCAAAAAATAATAGACATATTCTTTTTTCTTTTAAAAAATTACAAAGATTAAGCGCGTTGAAGTTTGGGAGTGAACGGGCTCCTGATGCCACTTCTAAGTAAAAATTGAACTGAGACGTGACTTCATATGACATTTCAAATCAATATATCGGACCCGGACCTTTCGCTATCGGGCGAATGCACAGACCATTATACAACTGCGGCCCTGATGGCCGTGTCGAAAGTTCTCTAGTCTTTCTTAAGCTGACATGCACCGTCATGTCTTCGCATTGTAGGTAACCCACAACGTCAAATGAATACCTTTACAAGTATTAAACATCAGAAATAAGAAATAGCAATTATAGTTCTTTTTAACATCTAGCAGTATTTAACTGCTAAAAAATATAAAAAAGTGATGATGCGTTTCCGCAACTCGACGTACTTATGGCGCCTGTTTTGCGTGAGGAGTGTGTATAGTATATGCTTATACACATATACTATACACCCTCCTATAGAAGCATAGCATATAAGATATTACAAGTTTAAATGAATTTAAGTTTAATTTATATTTGACTAGCCACTAGCCAAAACAAAAGTATAAAAACCGGTTCAATAAAAAAACTAAATAGTTATACCTCTCTCTTTCATGCCATTGACAATCCATTTATATTCCAGTCCGAGACATGATTGATGACTGTTTGTAATACAATGTAACACGAATGCGTAATCTTACGAAATATCTTTACATATTGTATTGGCATAAGCGTGCACTCTGCGTGTCAATGCATCAAACTAATAACCATTTACGACTTGAAGGGCCGCGAACTGAGCTTGCTTAGTTGTTTAGCACTTTAGCAGAAAAAATTTGGAGTAAGAACAATTATTAAGAAACTCCAGACAGGCTGTGAGAAAACACCGTCTTTCTAAATTATTTACCGCCTTATTTCAAAACGTGGGCTAAGTTTAGTCTTGGTTTAAACTCATTACTCTCTCTGTCTTCTTTTTAGCAATCAAAGGTGACGGCTAAAATTTAAGACCGGGCTTAACTTTAGTCTACGTTTTGTAATAAGGCAGATAAAGTCTAAAGCAAACACCAAATGTCTTCTTTTTAGCAATCAAAGGTGACGGCATAAATTTTAGACCGGGCTTAACTTTAGTGTATGTTTTGTAATATTGCAGATAAAGTCTAAAGCAAATACCAAATGTCTTCTTTTTAGCAATCAAAGGTGACGGCATAAATTTTAGACCGAGCTTAACTTTAGTCTATGTGTTGTAATAAGGCAGATAAAGTGTAAAGCAAACAATGTATCTATAGCTTATTTAATTGTGTTATTTGTCACACTTATCCATATCCGTCGGGAGAGGAATATACCGGTGCTTGTTGAATTTCTATCAAATCACACAACGGAGACGACATAAGAAATACCTAATATTCCTCAATTTCAACAGCGAAAATAATAACATTGTTATGGTTGAAAAGCGAGCTTTTCTAACGTTTTGAACTCGGGCATGTCTGTCTATAGGTCTCGTACAAATATCTATTGAGACATCAGTGCCGCTATTGGTTGAAATAACTAACATGATTTGTAGAAGACAATATTTGCTCGGTATCGCTAAGAGCAAATCAGCAAATGCACTGTGCAAATTTGTGGCACTTGACGCAACTCGAGCGACACAGCTAACCCGGCCGACCTTGTTGACTTGCATAGGTCTTGCAGCGAAGTTTGTTGCATAGTTACAGCGTCTTTAGTATTTTTAAAACAAGTTTTTTGTGATTCCAAAACCTAGTTTTCATAAGAATTTAGGAATAATTTCACTATAGGATTTTTGAAGTGAAAACTAACACTTTTTTGTAATGGGTTAAAACTGTTAAACTCGCGTCAGGGCACGTGGCCTGATCGCAACAGCCCTGACGTCCTGATTAGGTCACGAGTGCAACCCGTCGTTTTTTTTTTACTAATTATGTCTAATTTATGTAATACAGATATTATTTACATGTTTCAAACATTAATAATTCAAACAAAAATAATTTACTGAAAATAAAGTCGCAATCGAAAACATAAATGATGAGAAGAGAAATCATTTACCTATAATCTACGTTTGCAATTATCTCAAGCATAACCGAGGTTCTATAGAAGCTATTAAAACGTTCACAAGTTGGTACTCGCTGAAGAAGTTTTCTGCAGTTTTACATTTCTACAACGCATTAATTACATAATCAATCTCGGCAGAAATCAATGATATAAAAAAATATTTTATATTTTCCTGATTTGAAGAAAATACTTGCTCAGAAGACATGTTGGTCTTCTCTGCTTTTAAGATTCATTTCATTATTTCGAATGGAATGCCAAGGTAATGTGCTTTAAAATATTGCCACAGTTTGGGGTAAATTATAGTAGGGGAGCAGCAGATTAACAGTGAAGTACTTTCACCATATAAACTGCGGGCTTGAGATCCTCTTAGGATCTCGCCGTCCCTAAACCCGGTAACGCTGTAAAGGTCATCTGCGACCAACAGCATACACACTCAAAAAAAACCTCTGTGTAAGCCTCAAGTCAAGCTCAAGTCAAACAAAGAATAGAATAAGTGGAAATCAAAAGAAAGCTTCGCATGTCACATGGGGACCCTAAAAAGAACGAGAGAAGACTCCTTACAATAGTGTCATCAATTCTTTATGAGGTCCCCGACCCCTGTTCCGAAGTGATAGACAATGGCGGTGGTTGCGTTTGTGAGCAGAATTAATACATGCACATGCAATGGGAAGCGAGGTATGACCAGCCTTGAACTTGCGCTTGCATCTATGCGCGTGCGGCGTTGAATGCGAAAGCAGTCGCCATTTCTAGTAGGCGCGTCATGTTCGAGGTGAACAGACGTGTAATACGAATTTATATGATTAGATTACCACTTCTGACAAGCGTTATATGAGTGCAAATGATCATGTTCGTTGGAAAATTATACTGAGTTATTTATTATCCCGATTACTGGGAGGAGCAGGACGGCTATTTGAAAGTATGCGTATACTTTATTAAGTTATACTTTAAGTAGTCTTGCTACTTGGGGTTGAATATTCGATTTTAAGATATCAAATGATACTGATATTACTGAATGGCCTAATAAATGTAGAAAGACAATTAAAAATAATATTGTGTTATCCTGAATCCGACTGTTCATGTCCCTTTGTTAGAAAATCTCATATGAAAATAATAAACACATGTTTTTTTAAGATTTTGCGTATTTAACGCTCAAAATCAAACCATAAGCGGCGGTGAAGACACCGCAGCGGCAAATATTTCGCGTCTACGGTGCGCAAATGTCGTAGAGACTAATGTTACTCAATAATAAAAATAGAAAGAAAAACAGATCTTGGGTGCATCCTATGGTGCGTTATATAATAATAAAACATCAATTTTACTAACTTTATCCCCTCAGCTGTGTAGCCATCTACTTACTTTTTCACGGCCGGAAAGTCAAAAACTTTTCCGACTGATTTTCCTCTTATTATTCGAATTATTCTGTACATCCAGGCTTCATTTCTGTCTTAAATCAATCCTGAGTAATTTCTCTACAAAGTGAAGAATATATTAGATGTGTAAATTGAAAGTATGCCTAATATTATATAACGCAAAATAGGAAAAATGAAAATAATTTTCTCAACCTCTGGCAGAAATCATCCACTTACACAGCCGAGGGGGTATTGAGTATTTGGAGAAAAAAACTTTAAATACCACAAAATGAGCATTGAATCTTTTGGCGAACTTCATGGTCAGTTTAACACGTCTGTTTACCAGGAAACGCAATGGAGAATTTGGATTTTGTGATCGAACACTCTCAGCAGACTGAATTAAAATTACGGTGCTTTGCCAAAATGCGCGCGCCACAGTACAAATAGTTTTTATTACAACGAACTTGTGGTGTCCATGCTGCCGATAATCTGTGATCAGATGCAGAATTTTTAACAAAGGTTTCGTCGCGGCGTCCAAAATCCGCAGTGCGCGCTAATCGTAAAG